GGTACAGGTGGGCCTGGCGAGCAGTCTGGTGATTCCGGGTCACAGCAATGATGGGGGCGCGGGGGCGGTATCTAGACACCTGGTGAGCAGACCTGAGATGGGATGATGGACGGCAGAGGAGACCATTAAACAGTGTTCCAGAGCCTCCCAGGACACCCCGCAGGGCCTTCAGCACCAGCTCACCCTCTAATCCAACTCACTCTGCCAGCATGAGACCCTGGCCATTTTAGCATGTGCTCCCGATGCCGGGGCAGCCCCTCATCCTCTACCTTCCAAGGAATAGAAGACGACTCTTCTTATGCCACGCTACCCAACTGCCTTCCTCCCCTCCTCACAGCCCAGGGCCCCAGGATCCCATACCGACCCAGCATGGTCAGTCTCACCTATTCACCCAACATGGCCCATAGTTGGCAGAACCCCCTCCTCTGAACTTTTCCATCCTGGCACAGACACAGCCCTGCCCAATCTCACCAGCGCCCATTCCTCTGGCTGCCAGCAACAGCGACAAGCCAAGCAGCATGGGAATAGCACCTGACTCTTGACATCTGCGAAGAACAGGAGCACGGCCCACCAGCCCCCCCGGGAATCTACAACGCAAGCCTTCTCTCCTGCTGTGCCCTCTCCCGAGCCCACAGGGCCCCCAATGTCCCTGAAGCAGTCCCAGCAACTGGGCTCGAGAGCCAAACCTGAGTATTTCTGAGCAAGGCTTCGAAATCTGGGCGTTACCCAGGAGGAAAGACCAGGAGATGGGAAGGTTAGTGTGGGAGGCTCTGCCTGTGAAGGCCCCTCTGGAGGGTAGGGGGCCCCTTGGAGCCCCAGCACCAGACGCTTCCTTGAACACAGACACTACCCTTCTGGTTGTAGATGTGTCTGGGGAGTTGGGGAGGGGCTTGCTTGCAGGAGGCCCTGGGCCTGAGAAGGCAAGCTCTAAGGACACTCAACAGGTGTCAGGGAAACTTAAGCCACAGCACAGCAGAGAATGCCCCGTTAAAGGCCTGGCCCCATACAAGGCTTTCAGAGGGAAGCAACTGGTGAAGTCGGGACTTGCGACAGTGAAATTCCAGCAGACTGGAGCTAAAAATAGCCAAATAGCAAAGGCTGGACCTTTCCACAAAGGTCAACTCTGATGGCGGGAGCTGTTTATCCCGAGCCCTCTGCTGCAGCAATCTGCACAGATCTCATGCCCTGGTCCTACAGGCAGCCCCACTAGCCGCTCCTTGGTGCACGGGGCCGGTTGGCCTGATCCCCCTCTACCCTTCCCTTCTAGGAATCCCCTGTGGCCCTGGGGCAGGGATGAGGAGCACACTCCCAGACAGGGGCAGTGACAGAGGCTAACTCCATGGCCGGACTAGGAAGAGATCCCGAGTCTAAGTCTAAGGCCAAGCACAGGCCTCAGCTTGGTTGCACGGCACCAGAGTGCCCGCGAGACAACATGGTGACCTTTCCTGGTCCTCAACCCACTTGCCTTTGGGGCTCAAAGACAGGCAGGGACAGGTGCACCAACCAAACAGCCTGTCGGTGGACAGCACTGATTTTCCAAACGGAACTTTTAAAGAGCACATGGTAGCTGGAATGAACAAAACTGGCCACCTTTTACTTTTTTAAAAGATTAGCTTGTAAATAATCAAATAAGCATCTGTAGTCAGTCTATCTGTAGTTCTGTAATTCTCTAGTTTATCTTGAGGATGTAAACTCGCTTTGGATGCAAATGCTCTGACACCACTGGCGGATGCTGTCTGGAGTCCTCCGGGCCCAGGGGCAGGCAGAGGGGTCTTACCCGGGCTCAGCGCCGTCCGAGCCCCGTCCAATGCACCGCTCTCAGGACGCCCAAGGAAGGTGCCCCGGAGCAGGGCATCCCCGGGGAGCCGCCGCCACCTCCTACCTGCCAGACTTGGTGAGGACGATTATGGCCCCACTGCAGCACTTGAAGGAGGCCTCCACGGCGCCCACGGCGGCGGCTTCTGTGGGGTCGTTGGTAATGGGCGCCAGGCGGCGGAGTTCCTCAAATAATTGCAAGTGGTAGATGGCGGCCTCTGCCTCACGGGCAATCTAGGGGGGGCGATATCCGTCCAGAGGGACAGGAGGGGGACAGAGCTTTGTCAGAGCCGCGTCACAGGGGGGGGGGGGAAGGATCGCCCAGACAGCTGGTGAGGAACATGTCCCTGGATGTGAGGCCAAGAAAAGGCCAACCACCGAAGGTGCTGAGCTGAGCAAGATCCAGACTCACAGGAACAAGCCCTTCACCAGCGGCCAGTGACATCCACTGCGCCTACCGAGCCAAAGGCCCTTTTGGTCCTGCCCTGCCCTGACCTCCCTGGCTGGCTTCCTGCAGATGAGAAGAGGATTGGAGCCCAGGCCGCAGCTGCAGGGCCCTAGCTGCCTTCTAGATCAGCTGGAGCAAGAGGCTGGTTATCCTGCGGAGTTATCTGCCCTTGGGGCCCTACCTGCCAGACTCCGTCAGAACTATCAAAGCTGCTGCTAAACACTTATAAGAAGCCTCCACGCTGCCCATGGCCATGGCTTCCATGAGGTCTGTGGAGTGGCTTGAGCCTCGCACAAGTTCTTCAAACAGCTTGCGGTGGAACATGGCTGCCTCAGCCTCACGAGCTATCTGTAAGGTTTAGAGGGGGGAGGAGAGGCAAGGAGGAGGGAAAAAACAAGAGAGACAACACATGGAAAGACAGAAGGGGGAATTAATCAGAGGAAGGTAAACTTAGGTTAATTGGCTAAATCTGTCCTTCATGCAGATGCAAAGAGGCAGCGTGAGGAAAGCCCAAGGCTCAGGGATGGGAGGAGAATTTCCAGCATCGACTGCTACTGCTTCCCCTCCCACAGAGGGAAAATTGGTTCTTCCATTCTGGAAGGACTTTTTGATTGGGGGTAGGGGTGGAGGGAGATGACACGGCGGCAGGCTCTAGAACCTCGGCACAGAAACACGCCCAGGCTGGACCCACGCCACTCCCTGGCAGGACCCGACCATGCTGCCTCATTCCACAGCTCACAGGAAGGAACAGGCCCTCCCTCCTCACATGGCTGTCTGGTCACCGCAGGGCTCAGCGCCTGGCTTCCAGGCACACGCGGGACACTTGCTTGGCTGCAAGCACAGGACTGCTGCCAGCCTTTCCAGTGGCTGGCCACGGGAACGCGCTGAACAGCGCCGGAAAGCCGGGGTCAGACGAAGCCAAAGCCACACAGCTTAACCGTGGTCCAAGCACAAAGGGGGGGAAAATGGCAGATTGGTGAGGGGCACACGGAACAGCCATGTGAAGGGACAGATGCCTGTGGAAGCACACAGGTGAGTGTTAACAGGACATTTGATTAAAAATGTAAGGATTACCACAGTCATGAGAAAGCCATTCAGTTATTCACAGACCACCTGCTCAGGTAACATCAAGGATTAGAAAGAAAACGTAAGCTTCAGAACATTGTAATGCATCTTAGAGGATGAGGGGTGCGAGGAGAATCAGTAAGAACATCTCATTAACTTGACAGTAGAAGCAGGTACATGGCAGGATTTACTAGGTTAAAGGTTTTCTTTCTCTAAGGGAGGGCATGCAGTCCAAAGGATAGGAGACATGAACAGGAAATAGAACCATACCTGATGCTGCCTAGCCCTTAGTCATGGGTGGTTAATTGCCTCAGTTAGACACAAAAGAAAGCAGTGAATGATTAAAGGAAGCTCTTGGCCAGTGTTAACTGGGGACGTGGAAAGGAGAGGCCTGCACTGCCTAGCCCAGAGCCCATCACTTATCTTCTGAGCAGGGCCATCCAAGCCCTGTCGTTCTCTCTAAGGTGTCTGTTCAGAGGAAAGACTGGGGTATGGAAAAAACAACAGGAGTTCAGAGGCCAGAGCATGATTCTTAGTACAGGCCCCTGCTGGAGACCCAGCCTCATCTCCCGCTAGACAAAGCACTTTGTTACAGAACAGTGGCTCTGGAGCCAGCAGATCTGGGTTCAAACTGAGGCTTTATCACCACGTAATCCTCCTCTGTAAGTTGTGGTGACATCTACCACGTAGAGGGTACAAAGATTACAACAATCTACACAGCCTAATAACTGGACACACAGAAAGGGAAGGAGGAAAGGAAGAGATCTTTGTTGGGGGGGGTGTTTACATTTGGGGGAGTGCAGGGGAGGGGGCGTCACACAAAGGGCACAGGGATCCTTTGCTGATGGGAAAAGAATTGGAGGGTCAAAGAAAAACCACTTCAGGATCCTAGGCGAGTCTGCTGAGCTCACACACGTTAGAAGCACTGACACTGAACTATTTTAAGAAAGTGAATTTGCAGCACTCCGTCTCCCAGGCCTCAGGAGCCCTGGTAACTGAACCCTGGGTTAACTCTTCAGTGAGTCTAGAGCAGGACCAGACAGGGCCAGGGAGCTGAGAAGGAGCCAGGCAGTGGGACGTGGCCACGGACCCTTCTAGATGCTCTCACGCCATGCCCAACAGGCTCACTCTCTCCACCTGTCCCGACTTGTGGACTTACTGCCAGTCACTAAAACCCCACCTTTCAGCCGGAGGCGAGTGCAACAGCTCAGCAAAGCAGGCCCCCGCTGCCCGTGCCATGCAAGGCCAGCTAAGTCGCCTCAGGGCACGCAACAGCTTCTGGAGCAGGCCTAGGTGCCCCCGGGGGAGGCAGCTGATGTGGGACAGGTGGGGAATCAAACAAAAGCCAAACAGGTTGGCTGGGAGGAGCCCAGGGCCTTTCCCAGAACAGGGCAGAGGTACTCAGGTCCTCTGGGCTGTCCGGAGGAAGGGATTCACAGCCTTGAAGCCAGAAGTGACTGTGTTATGACGGATGAAGGAGGATACCTCCAGAACCGGAGGAAACAGGAGGGAATGTGGGCAGGGAAGGCAGAAGAGAAAAAAAACCAAGACACTCCTCTCCCCCCAGCACACACTTCCTCACTCCTGTTGTGACTCAGAGGATCATAAAAGGTTGTGGGCGCAGCAGCCCAAAAGGAGTCGCTCTGTCCAGAAGCTTGCCTCCCCGCCGGCCCGGCCCGCGACCCGCGGACATGGGGAGGCCCGAGAACTCACCAGGTGCTGCATACGAACCGCCTCGAGCGGGTAGTCCCCTTTGGCTGTCTCTCCAGACAGCATGATGCAGTCGGCTCCATCCAAGACTGCATTGGCCACATCGCTGCCCTCAGCCCGGGTGGGACGGGGCTTCTTGATCATGCTCTCCAGCATCTGGGAGGGGACAGAGCACAGTGAGATGTGGCCAGGGCCATCTTCAGAGAGGAAGGACTACACCCTGACTCCCTGGGGAGCGTGTCTGTGCACAGAGTATGGCTTTGTGTACATGCATGAGGGGAAGGGCGGGTGTGCGTGTTTGAGAGGGGGGGGGGGGGGGATGCTGGGAAGAGACCAGCCGCCCTCCTCCCCCCACGAGCATGTGAGCATGGGGAGAGGCACATGCCTGCGTCGCACAGATGACAGGCTTCCCGGCTCGGTTGCACCGCCCAATCATCATCTTCTGAGCAAGGAAGACTTTCTCTGCGGGAATCTCAATGCCTAGATCACCACGAGCCACCATGATGCCATCACTGGCTTCCAGGATCTCATCAAACCTGCCAGAGGGGGTAGAAAGAGAGGCTCTATGGAACAAGGCCGCAAGTGCAGTGATGCTCAGGAGGTTCTCCTGCATTCTCTGACTTAGCAGCCCTTCGCCAGGACAGCCGTCCATGACCTCCTCCTGGGTGTGCAGGTGACGGGGTGTTCCAGCTACCTTCATCTCCCAAGGCGGGCTAACGGTTCTGCTTGCTGACCTTCTTTAGCGCTAGGATGGGGACTTCACTGAAGGGGCCGGGGAGAGGACAAGGTTTCTTCCTTCCCATCTGCAGCTCAGGAGGCCCCTCTTGAGGCATCTCTCTACCATCGGCACCCCAGCCAGCACTTCCAAGCAGACAGAGAACACAGGGCCAGCTGAACACTCCTGACACAGAGGTCCGTGGCCTTCCAGCCAAGGACGCTTGAGGGCTGCTCCTTGAGGCAGCCCCCTCCCACCTGATGAAGGCAAGAGGACATGTGGCTTTGCCTGGCCTGCGGCCAAGGTCAGCAGGCACCCCTGGTTTATCAGGACAGCAGGAGAGGGACTCCATGTTGCCTGGTACAAAGGACATCTACACAGAGCTAGGAATGGCAAGGTCAAACACTGGGCAGGGCCGCTCCTCCTGCCCTCCCCAAGTACGCGCCTAAATCACACAAGTAGGTCTAGAGTTTTAGCTGTGCTGACTTATGCTCCTAGTAGGGAGCTGAAGAGGAAGAGATGTCAGCTAGCTGGCCGTACTCATTGGCTCTACCTGGGGACACTGGGGAGGTGGTGAAGTGGAGCTGGGTGGGCCCAGGCACAGCGGAGGAGGTACATGCTTTCCTCCAGGAAGCTGATCACATGCCAGAGCCAGCCGAGTCATCAGGCCAGCGGCTTTGTACGTGAAGACAAGGACACCAGGAGCTTCCCCAGATCTCCCAAGTGAGGGGCCAAAAGAGCCACCCCTTCCTAAGAGCCTGCCATCTTCCTTCCATTGGGAAAAATGGTGGTGGAGGCGGGGTTTGGGGGGCAATGTCCCTTTGTTCGAACAAAGTAGCACTCCTGATCAGGAGGACAGCATGATCCTGTAAGCAGTGACCCCGTCCACTCCAACATTGGTCCCTGGGCCTATGGAACAATGTCAATCACCACTGGGGAGCATCAGCATGCCAATCACCTGGGAAAATATATATGTTGTTTTTGTTTTGTTTTGTTTTGTTTTGGTTTTTTTTAAATACCAATGCCTTGGGGCCCTGGCTGGCTCAGTTGGAAGAACGTGCAACTCTTGGTCTCAGGGTCACAGGTTCGAGCCCCAAATCAGGTGTAAAGATTACTTAAATAAACTTTAAAACAAAACAAAACAAAAACAAGGGGCGCCTGGGTGGCCCAGTCGTTAAGCATCTGCCTTCGGCTCAGGTCAGGATCCCAGGGTCCCTGGGATCAAGCCCCACATCGGGAACCCTGCTCGGCGGGGAGCCTGCTTCTCCCTCTCCCACTCCCCCTGCTTGTGTTCCCGCTCTCACTCTCTGTCAAATAAATAAAATCTTTAAAAAACAAAAATAAAATGAAATAAATAAATAAAAATACCAATGCCTTCCACTCCCCTTCTTCAGATATTTGGACTCAGTGGGTCTGGCCTCAACTAGGGAGTTTGTATTCGGATGGGCAGGTCGCCAGGTTTGGGAACTGGGTCTTCACGGGATACGGTCTGCTTTTTGGAAAGCGAGGCCGGGGCTGATGGAAGCAGGGGACAGAGAGGGGCACTCACCTCCGAACTCCCTCATGATTCTCAATTTTGCTGATTATCTTGATGTTCTTCCCTTTCTCTCCCAGGACCTTCCTGACTTCATGGACATCTGAGGCCTTGCGGATGAAAGATGCAAACACCATATCTACATCCTGTTCTACCCCAAATTTCAGATCCTGGATGTCCTTTTCCGACACAGCAGGCAAGTCCACAGCAGCCCCGGGGAGGTTCACACCCTTCTTGCTCCCCAAGGAGCCACCGTTCTCCACCTCCGTCACCAGGAAGTCAGCACCTGTCCGAAATTGGGGGTGGGGGAGGGAGCAATGAGGGCACAATGTCCAACCGGAAGCAGGGTCCCCCGGTAGAGTGAACTGGAATGAGGCACATTGTGGGCACTGGAGTCGTATGTCCAGAATTCTGATCCCAGCTCACTAACTGTATAATCTTGGGCAAGTCGACTAACCTATCTGTGCCTGTTTCCCCACCTGTTAAATCAGGATAATACCGGCTCACGAGGTTGTTTTAAAATTTAAACAAGTTACCACGTAAAATGCTTAGATATTAGCTATCATTCCCAGGTATTCCTGCACCTATCACACTGAGGGATGGAGGAAGGAAAGCAGAAAGGCAGAAACAGTGAGGATGGATAAAAAAAGAAATCTTTTCATATGCTCCCCGAGCATGCGATAAAGTTGGACTGAAGTCTGTTTTATTTATTTTTTTTTAAAAGATTTTATTTATTTATTTGACAAAGAGAGACACAGTGAGAGCAGGATCACAAGCAGGGGGAGAGGGAGAGGGAGAAGCAGGCTTCCCGCGGAGCAGGGAGCCCGATGCGGGGCTCGATCCCAGGACCCCGGGATCAGGACCTGAGCCGAAGGCAGACGCTTAACGACTGCGCCACCCAGGCGCCCCCTGAAGTCTGTTTTAAAGGACAAGGAATCAGGGGCGCCTGGGTGGCTCAGTCATTAAGTGTCTGCCTTCGGCTCAGGTCCTGATCCCGGGGCCCTGGGATCGAGTCCCGCATCGGGCTCCCTGCTCGGCGGGAAACATGCTTCTCCCTCTCCCACTCCCCCTGCTTGTGTTCCCTCTCTCGCTGTGTCTCTCTCTGTCCAATATATAAAATCTTAAAAAAATAATAAAAAATAAAAGACAAGGAATCAGAAAAGGAATTCCTGAGAATAAACAGACTTCACCTTGCTGTCAGCCAAACAAACTTCCCATTGTCCTTGGGTCAAGGGAAATTTAGAGATGGTTCTAGAGAATGAGATACCGCCTCCTGTACCTACCTTTCTGCTTCACCTGCAGAGAAATAAGCCCATCATCCACGTAGATCTTGCTGCCCACTTCCACCACCTTGCAGATGTTCTTGTAGTCCAGCCACAGGATATTCTCATCACATTTGTCCATGTAGGCATTGTCCAGAGTGATCTTGAGCGTGGCCCCTTTCTTCAGCTCTACCTCCGCAGTGCCGCTCTATAGACCAGAGAGTAAGCCGTGAGTCCAAAGAAAAGCTCTTCCCTCCAAGGAAAAATGCTCAAATCTCCACCAGAAGTAACAATAAAGCCTCTGGCTTTGCAAATCAATGATCATATTCTCGAACTTACCTCAAGGAAGTCACCCAAGGAAAACCTACAATGTTTTAGTCACTCTACGTAAATGATAGGGGGAAAAGCGACGCAGACAGACTTGGGAAGTAGGTTTTTAGAGTAAAAAGTCCCTCACTCTATCACGTCTTAGCAAAGTACACCAAATCAACCTTTTTGATGGAACGTGATGAACAGAACTCTCACGTCTCGATCTAGACCTGAACCCTGAGGAACACAGCCTCTGAGCAGGGCATGGACTGCAGAGGATGGCTCTCTGGAGCCCGCTGCCCCCTGTGCCCTCCCTCTCGCTCCTCCCCGTGATACTCACGCCCTTGATGAGCCCGGTTCGGATCTCGGGTCCTTTGGTGTCCAGGGCCACAGCAACCGGCCGGTAGAGAATGGGGTCGGAAGCAAAGCTCTCCGTGGCTGTGCGCACGTTCTTGATGGTCTCTGCATGGTACTGAGGGAAAGGAAGGAAGATGACACGGGTGCTCCCACACAAGGATCCAGCGCCAGAGCTGAGGCGGATCCCTCAGGAAAGGCCTGTGATGTTCTAGACCACCTGCTGTGTCTAGCATCAGGGTCAGCTAGTCACCGAGCACCCTCTATCTGATCATTTCAATCTCTTTGGCTTCTACCCCCTTCTTCTACAGCACTCACTCACTCTAGAGCCAATCTTAGTAACTTTAGAATACTGCCACCATAACCAACTACAGAGATGGCGTAAACACGTCTCAACGTAAAAAGCTTGTCTCCTTTGTGTTCCCTAGGACCCATCACACTCCCTCGGCAAATACAGCAGACAACTGGAGTAAAAGCCCTGGCCCTCAGGTGTGGGTCACACTGGTCTGGCAATCACGGTCAGATTCTGATAGATTTGGCAATTCTGAGCTTCTCCTCTATTGATCCCAACGACAAATCAAACTCCAGAGTTATTTACTTAAGCTTACAACGGCCCAAGCTAAAAAAGCCATTGCTTAGGTCCCACAGACCTGGTTTTCACAATCACGTTTTGGAGTGGCCGAGGGGAGCGTGAGGATATGCCTCTCTCCAAACCAACTGCCCTGACTTCCATCTTTTTCCTAATCCCTTGTTCTTTTCCCAGTTGCCACGACTGTCTGACCAAAAAAAGGGACTCAGAGCCAAGACGTTAAGAGTTCTTAGTGTAACCAACAGGACGCTGCTGATCACAGAGGCACCCAGCTCAGCACTTTGCGGGCCCTGTCCTTTAGCCTGTCCAGGAGAGCAGCACCGTCGAGGCAGCTGGAGGGGAGCTGGAACCAGAGTCTACCCTCCAAGGACTGTGCTGCCTGAAACGTGGATCTGAGAATCTTCAGCTTCTAGTATGGTCTCTAGTGAGGACCGCTGGCTTGTTTTCTGGGGGCAGAGGTCCCTACTCTGAGTTATGACTATTTCTATTACTGGCTCGCAATAAAATAATATAAACTAGAATATAGAGATAATTTTTTTTTTGAAGGAATGGGTGTTTCACATTGTCAAATGCCTTTTCCTCAGAGCTCATGTGAGGGGTAAAAGAATCCACGAAGTCCTTAGAGCAGAGGTGAGCAACTAATATCACCATCATCTCCTACTGGCCACTCTAGATTTCATCCCAATGTGGACTTTGTGTTCCTAGAGTAAAATTTACGTGGTCACGGGGCAGGAAATTCTTTTAGTAGATGGCTGGATGTGGACTGCTGAATTTTACCTTTCCTGTCTGCTTCTCTCTAAATGACGGCCTGCGCGCTAACCTGCCTGGTTGCGGTACTGTTCTTGTCTCATCTCACTACCAGGGTGTGCTGGCTTCAACGAACATACTGGGAAGCCTTCTGTACTTCTTTAGGCCCTGGAACAGCATGACAAAGGACGTAAGCTAACCACTCCTTCAAGGGGAGGCAGAAGTAAGCCATCCAAGTTCTCCAGGCCTGGTGCTCTGAATGAAGCTAGTCACCTTTTCAATTTCTTCAGGCTGTTAATCTATTTATACTTTCTACTTCTTGGACACTACCTTTTCTTGGAAGATAATCAACTTCATCTCAACTTCTAGAAAGTAAAGTAGAAGTCTTTTTATGACTTTCAAACTCTCTTCGAACATATGGGAAATACTCCCTTTTCATAGTCTCTTTTTTGGTGCATCCTCATTCTTGACCAGGCTTTCTGAAAGTTTCTGTTTTACAGGGATTTTTTGGTTTGTCAAATTTATTTTCTATTTCATCAAGTTATGCTTTTAAATCAATGCTTTTCCTTCATCCCTTTTAGGTTATTTGGTTCCTAGTATTTGAGTTAAGTGTTTCATTTACTTTCATTAAGACTTTTGCTTTCCGGTAAGTACATTTAAGTCTGTAAGTTTTCTTTTTTCCTTTTTCTCTTTTTGGGGTGGGGGGTGGGACAGAGGGAGAGGGAGAGGGAGAGCGAGAGAATCCTAAGCAGGCTCCACACTCAGCACAACCCTGAGATCATGACCTGAGCCAGAATCAAGAGTTGAATGCTTAACCCACTGAGCCACCCGGGCGCCCATGCCCCTTTAAGTTTTCTTGATGACGGTTAGACTTAAAATTTCCATTAAAAAAAAAAAAAAAGCCTGAGAATATGGTCTCTATAATTTCCATTTTATGGAACTTGAGGGTTTTTGGTGGCCTAATAAATTTTATAATCATAAGCATTTTAAATAAACACGTGTTTTTGTTCTTGGAGGACATAAAATCTACTGTACACACACCAATGAGATTATTAGGTCTTACATTATTCAAATCCTCTCTACTGGCATCTTTGGGGACATTTCTGGGAGGTGTACTACAGTCTCCCGCTATGGCTGTGGTTTTGTTGGATGCTACCAAGTGGTAAAGAATTCCATCAATCAATACTGTCCTTGTGGAAGGTTCTAAATTTAGGTCGTTTCAAAGTCAGTATCTCTGGGGCCACATGTTCAGTAAGAAAACATCTTGTGCACCTGAACTGCCCAATGGGGCAGGGGCACCGCGGCCGACAAAGCTGCAAGAAAAAAGCAGATGCAGACAGATGTCCCTCTGTCAGAGTCAGTGAGAGAGAACAATTTCAATGCTCTGCTTAGAAGAGCATTTAAAAATTGTCAAGAGGGGCGCCTGGGTGGCTCAGTTGGTTAAACAACTGCCTTCGGCTCAGGTCATGATCC